CGCATCTACCTAATTAGGTTACGGCATGACCTGAGGGAGAAACGCTCAGGCGCGAACGAAGAATTTGATCTGGAGGCGGAAGGCGTGACGAGTTCTACCACACAGCAATCCATCCATCCATGCAGACCACTCTCCATCGTCCAACCGTTCAATGCCATGGGCTAAACGATCTTATTTGCAGGTAAGCGGCTTTTGTGTTATTTGCCAAGATAGAACAGCTGTTTTGAAGTTCCGATTAATGATTTAGCGTTTGCCAAAATAAGAAGGAAAAAATTTAAGCCAAATACCTCCCCTTTTTTGCCATCAGGCGCACCTCGGAGGCATTTTTGCCTCCTTTAAGTTGACGGTGATGCGTAGGATGGAGCAAATGGCTTGCCTTTTACTGCCATGATAGCAGTTATATTTGGGAAGGAATGTACGCAATCATTTTCACCCTCACCTTTACCTGCATTGCCGTTAATTTATCCTGTCAAAATGAAATACTTGCAGCTAGTTTCACACGCAGCATTTCCCCCATCCCTCTGGTTGTGTTTCCTTCTTGCTTTTTTCCTCACGCTGTGGATGGGAAATTTAAGGAGAGGACAAGATTGCTCTCACATTCCACCGTGAAGGACCGAGATGCACTCTGCAGACAGTTATGATTGGGGAGACACAGGGGAGCAAATCCAGGTGAACAAACGCTCCTTCACGCACACGGACAGAAGTAGTCAGTTGGCCGGACATGCCTTGGAGTCTAAGGACCAGTGTACGCAAATCAGTTGTCATTTTTCAAGGTGATAACAGGGACGAGTACTTCGCCAACCTTTCTTTGAGGGATACCGCAACTACACCACCTCTGCTTTCCCCTCAGTGATCATAAATGCTGAGATTTGGCCGTCATAGCGTATAAAATGACTTTAAATTCGTTTGAGTGTTGTGGACCAGCCCTACAACCTTTCATTTCTTTCCCGATATATGAGTATTTCTTTTAAAGGATCACAATTTTCAGACATCTTACATGGAGGCAAAGTTGCTTTCAAGGCCTTCCTCTGTCAATCGGTTATCCTGAAAGTGTCTGCCCAAAAGTTAAAGTCACTTGAAATTGTGTATTTCCTGTCCATTGGACCTGTGGCCTGACTCAAGCGGAGCATGGAAACCTCCTTAAGGTGGAAAATGACCTTAAAAGTAACTGTTGACTCCGTTTGGAAACGGGAGGGCGATGTTTACCATTAACATCCTCTGAACTGCCTTTTTTACAATTTCAAATTAACCTAGGATTAGTATCAACTGCGAAGGGAGGTAGCTACAATCACCCTCCTCTCTTCTGTGCTGGCATTAAAGAGTTGGCACAAGACCTCCACAAACAATTAATCCCGGGTGGAGGCACTCAAAGGGCCCAAAGGTGTGAAAGTGCATTACGGTGGCAACGCTTAGCCTGGCAAGGTTTTGAGTTCAAACAAACAATGTGCTCCACTTAACCATATAAATTGATATTTTCTTTAAATGCAACACATTTGAGTTATGATTGATCAAACAACGATTGTAAAATTAACTAAATTGGTGGGATCCTTTCTCTTCTCCTGTCAAAATGCATCGCCTATCCTCTTCTCCTGCCTCACTGATATCAAATGCAAAGCGATAGAAGTAAGAAATGAAGGTAAGGCAAACGCATGCACCAGAATTTAGTTATTTTCGGTGGGGACAAGGAGCACTTTAGGATGGAGGAGAAAATTAAAGTTGCTGATATGCTGAGTGAGTGGAAACAAGATAAAATCTTGGCACATCTGGGCAGCCACAATCTTGATTGGCAGGCCTTGTGAAGTCCTCAAGGATCACATGTCGACCGCTATGGTGTACTGGTAAAATCGTAAACCCAAACAAGACTTCAGTTTCATAAAAGATTAGCTAAACTTGTGCTATCGGCAACCATTTAAAGCCCTTCCACAGGACTACAGAGCTGCTTACTGTTTGAACCAGACACTCATGCAAATTTGGAGGCGCCACAATAAAAAAATGGTTAAAAACAAAAAAAGGTTCAGAGGGACTATGGCGGTGATTAACTAGCTTCGACGTACAAGCAACGCTGCACATCAATCACCGCGACGTAAAGGAAGGTGCAGAACTGTAAGGCAGTTCAGATGGCAAAAGAAATTTGCTGAAGGGAAATGCTACTGATCCTAATTCAACAGTAATAAAAAAGTAGAAAAATCGACTTTCTGGAACAAATAATGAACAATCATTAAAAGGAGAAGTGATGAGATATGTAGAGGCAAGAATGGTTCATAATGAAGCAAAGCAAAATGACTTAAAAATGGTCATTATAAACTGGAAAGCATCATTTTAAATTGCTAAAAAATGCCAATACAATATAGTAAGCAATTGGATTTAGAATGTGCACAATTACAAAGTGGTGAAAATGATCTATGAAGATCAAATTTAATGCGTAAATGCATATGCTGATTTAGTATCCACAATTGTACTTTTAGCTCACTACACTGGTTTTGCTTAAATATAGATGCAAACTTCTAAATGACAGGCAAATACACATCTAAACAACGTATCAAACTAAACTTTAAAAAATAATTTACGTTGTTTTATGGTATCGATGGCAGATATTAGCGCACAAGCGGTGGCTTTGATTGGTTTGGTTTCATGACGAAGTCGGCTCTTTCTTGGTCTACCACTTGTTGGTAGTCTTTATGGCTGGTTTTTCTATGTACACTCCTCCTCAATCCCCCAAATTTGACGAAAGTTGCGGCGCTCAACTTTTTGGGGATGTCGCCAGGAATGTATGGGGTATTGAAGGTTTGACTGATTAATTTTAGCTGGAAATTGGCGATTACAGATTTCATTTGAGCATTTTTGTCATTTGAATTTTACGTCCGGTCTAGCGTTTGTATGACTAGCGCATGTTATCGAATTCTATACTTAACTTTTGAAAGTGTTTGCTCCTTTTTTCATATCGTCCATCCTGCCTTTTAGATTTTAACGAAGATTTCGAATTCAATTCGCACTGTCTTTGCGATGAAGAGCTCTTTCGTGCCATGAAGTTTGTGTTTTTTATTATTTCTTGCCTTTTAGCATTTACTTAAAACCCGTTGCATTCAAGAACACGTTTGGATTTCCGAATAATTTCTCACTGCTATGGTATTTTTGCAGCTTTTTATCTTTATAGTGGTAGGAATATAATATCGCGATTGATGTATTGCTCTGAGTTAAAAGGTAAGCTAATGCTTTGCAATGCTTTTCTTCCAGACTCGAGATCGAATATTAATATTCTTCTCCTGGATATTTATGCTTCCTCTGAGTAGGGAACTCATTTCATCTATATTCTACAGGAATATTGATTCATCACATATACCTGACTTTCTTCGTCGTTTTATCTATCTCATCAAAGGCATCCAAACAGTCGTTATGTCATCGGTTCGACATTTTATTTTTATCCATCTTTTAGACCGACAATCTTGTGCTTCTGCACATTCGTCTAGACATTTTGACCATGTTTCTCAAGATTCTAGAGCAAGATCTCACTCCCTCTTTAAAAGACGTCCTAGAATTAGTTCCATCCACTGCTAGTCCTCAGGAATACCTCATGGAATGGGTCTTTGACCTAATTGTATCGGATCGCTCTCTCTGCAGCTGCTACTCCATCCTGTGGCTCCTGCTAATTCGCTATGGGGAGCGCGTAAGTTGCTCGCTGTCTTACATCAGTTCCTCAGGTCTCGAAGGGATGGTACAAATATCTTCACAGTAAGGTGATTCAAATCCACTCAGGTAAACGAAGAACCGTCAAAGGCGCTCTTGATAGCATCCGAGCCCCCACGAATCTGATAAATCCAGCAGGAGTCGTTAACAAATTACAACTTTGGCGTATGTATTGGTCAGCATTGGTAGTAACGACCCCACTCTATGAAAAATATCGAGTATTTTCGGATGGCCCCGGGGTAAGAGGTGTTCTGTTTAGTATGAAAATGATTGAGCTTGAATTTGGTTGCTTTGAAGTCTTGTACCTATTATCTTTATTCATTTATTATTTATCTTTATTTGAAACGGTGCCGAATTGCTTTAATTGCTTTAATGAAACATCTCAGTATTACCTTTTTTTTGGCACAAGTCCCATATCTTCCAGCCTTGTTTCTCGAGTCGTGAAATTTATCTGTTATTCGGTGCCTGCATGCAACAACGATTTGTCCTCCTAAAATTCGACTTTATTGACACAAAATGAGACCACTTGAACATTGCGATGTGACTTTGCTTTCCCAAAATTGCCAATCCCATTTATTGTTCCAAATAGGTTTTGGTGATTATGGTCGCAGGTATCGCTGAAACGTGTGAAAAATAGCAACTTCTTTCTGCATCAAACGATTATTTAAACTAGTTAAATTCACTTTACTTTTAAATGAGACTCACATTTTGGATGATGTGGGCATTCATTATGCTCTCTATCCTATGGTCTTTTTTCGATTTAATTCTCATGGAAAAATGTTTTCTCATCCACCCGCTCGCCTAATGTGTAACTACCTCTTCATGGCCCCTGTGTCTGCTTTTTTTTTAGCTGTTGGGTAGTATTTGAGAAATTGAGCTTACTCTTAAAGTATGGGAGGAGATTACAATTTCATATACCTTTAAAACCTGGTATGTGTTTGTGTTTGCGTTCCTCTTTTGACCATAAAATCAGTAGAAAAATGATTTTTCTCATGAATGTTCGCTGTGCTGTCATCCTTCTTCTCTTCCCTCCCCCTCTCTCTTTCTAACTTGTCTTCAAAGTCAGTTCGGTTCTTCTCTGGAAGTTGTGCTTAGCCAACTTTTTACTGTCGATATGAGGAGGATTTGGGGAGCTACTGGCAAAAGTAAACTCCCTTTCTGTCGCCACAATTTCTTTTTCATTTGTTCCCTTCAGCAGCACTCAACCGCTCCAACTTCCCGATTTTCTACTGCTGCTTGGATCATTCGCAATCATTTACTTGGCGTGAGTCTCGAAGTCTTCAAGGTCATGATAACCGATATCGGCTTTTCTTTTACAGGACACTCCTCCACCCGAGGAGTCCATTCGACACGCCTTGGAGTCCATTCTGGCTCTTCAGATGGTCTGGGGTGCTAATGTGGAGGTTGTGCATTCACTGTGGCTTTATTTCAGTCGCAAACTCGTAAGCTTCTTCAGTATGCGATTCCGCCAACCTCTGACTAACCACTTACTCTTCCCTGCCGGCCTTACCGTTTCGTTGTTTTTTTTTCGCATTCAGGATTCAATGGTTGATCTGCGACCTAAAGACTCCAAGTCGGGTGGGGCAGAGTAAGACTTCTTGCTTTTTCAAATATTGAATTCCCCTCGTTTTTAGCCTCCATCCTTTTACTCTCTTCTGCGATATCACCGTCCAAGTCTTTATTTCTCACTCGACAGATGTGTTAAATCTGTAAGTGGGTAGATTTCTTTTGCAACAAGAAAAATTGCTGATTACTTTTTGCAGTATCCGAGTTGCCCTCCCCTCACTGACCCGTCAAGGCATTGCAAATTACTTTACGCTTATCGAGTGCCTATTGAGGGCAGTATTGAGCCCGCCTCAGAATCAGAAAGTTGCTTGTGAACTGGTAAGATTTTACAACAACGATTTTCACAGTCGTTTCTGGTTTGTGTTTTGATTGGTTGGGCGAACGCTTTCTGATCTCTCATTGGCTACTTACGTCATGCGGCTTGAAGGTCGAATACTAGGCATACATTAAACTGATTGCATTTCCTACCAGTAGGCAGAATATGAACCGTTGTCTTATTACTCTGTTGTCCTTTGAGTTCACGCGAATCAATCAAACGACAAGTGGGCCATTTTGTATGATGTTTCGCTTTGTTTTTTGGAGAGAGAGGAGTCCTCCATCAGTCATTAATTTGGGCAGCCTAAAGTAACTGCTCAACATTTTATAAGCCTAAAATTAGCCTTGAACTACAGCTCCTGTGTAATTTTTGAACTGCTTTGCCTTCAGAATAAACACATTAGACCTAATGTTTTGGTGGCCGCTGTTCCGATTAGCGAAGTGGTGTGCGAAGCTGCTCCTTTGTGAGTAGACAATTTGCCGTTTCTAAGTGATGTTTCGAAATCATTCGCCAAAAGGTCCGCTCTACCTCACTTACCTATTCTGATTATGAGTGTGCTTATATAAGCATTAGCCTTTGGGATTTGGGGTGCTTTTATGGCTGTGAGTCAAACAAAGCAGCCTTATTGTCTTTTTTCTACTGAAAACAGATGGGCTTTGTCGTATCGCTATTCGGTGGGATGGAGGAGGCTCAGTTAAAGTGGTTTTGCGACTGGGAGATTGGTCGACGTTGCGCTGCTTTGGAGGCTCTTCAAAACCTCCTTGTTATCGGCTTTCACAATGATTCTACTGTCAACAGAGAGTTTGAACAGTCTTTAACACATCTTGTGCATCTTACGTGTCGTTTCAGGGAGGCTATTGTTCAGTGAGTTCACACCTTTGCTAATTGCCCTTGGGGTCTTGATTGAATTCCTAGCCACACTAGATTGTACAGCATTTTGAGCATAAATGATGCTTTTTTGCCAAGTCATCGACATGGCGACATAAATCTCATCTTTATTAACCTTTTTTCCTCCTCAGACAGGTGAAAAGTAACACAATGGAATCAGGAGCCAATGTGCTTAACTTTACACTTCTGGGTCACCGTGATAAATTGGAGCAGCTGGCACTCTCATTTTGTCAGTCCCTTCTTCCACCTCTGCTTCGTCGAACTGAGTGGATTTCTCAACTTTTTGGTGAGATATTTTGGTTCTTTTTTCACAGATCGCTTCATTTGTCTCTCCCAAATTCTACTCGCACTTTGAATCATCTACGTCTGCTAAATTTCACATTCCAACATCTGTTGAGTCGATTCATCCTCTGGTTGGACGATTTCGTTCCATTTTATCCGCATTCTCACATCCATTGGTTTGCATTTGGTTTAATCGCATCGTCATTCTTCTATCCATTCCGAGTTATTCATCGTTTCTACCGCATCGTACAGAGTTCAAGGCGGTAACACACAAAGGGAGCAAAATCTCGCAGATTGTGTCTACGTACCTTTTTATGATCTTGTTGGTGAGTGAATTGCATAGGAAAATGGTAAACAAGTGCGGAAAATAGTTTGGACGAGGCGGGCTTTGCCGGAATTAGGGATGGTGCTCAGTCCACCAAAATTAGGGGAAGCATAATAGCACCACTCGCTTTGAATGCATTTAGACCTCTTTCACGAGCAGTGAATCTGGGCGGAATGGATTCGGCGGTGCTTTGATGAGGCGCTTCAATGGTGGTGGAAGTTTATTGCAGCTTGTTTGGAGTAATCCCCTTGAATTCTGTCAGTTACCTTCTGGATTAGTTCATGGTCTACAGGATCCCACACTGGCAGACACTGTTTCGCCTACATTCATGAGCTCTGCCTAATTTCAAGCTCCTCATATCAATGTGGAATAAGTCTTCATTTAGTTCAAGGAAAATTTAGAGGATTAGACAGCCGCGTAGTCAGAACGATGGTGCAATATAAACCGTGTCGGTGTTTTCTACTTCCAACATATAAGTAGTGCGCATTGAGGAATCGCGCAATTTTATTCCAACGCGCCTGCTTCAAACTCACTCATTGTTGCAAACAATATGAGGTCTTCTTCCATCCCAGGACTGCTAGGCGAAAACTCCTTCATCTTTCGGTGTTTTTTCAAATCACATGAAGAGAAAGTACAGATTGTGCTGATGTTTCTTGAAGGTGTTTATCCACTTACGTGAATTATTGCAAATGTCAGTCGTTTATTTGATGCCCTCTAAAACGACATTACTTTTAATTTTTACTCACCTTAAGCGCAGGAGCATCTGTTCCATAACACTGATCCAATCAGAAAACGGTGAGGGGGAAGGGTGCTCTTCTTCTTCGATGCGATTTGTCACCAGCACCGAATCGCTTCCATCATTTGATTTTCCATCTAGCATCAGTCAGAAATAACTAACTATATTAATAGTATTGCTTGTCTTCTGTGTAGACGCTCCTCTTCTCGATACACTGTGCTCCTCCGTGCGTGGGGAATGGCTCTCTTTCCTGCATGATCTCCTGTCCTCCCACTGGTTAGTTCGATTCCCTGTTTGCACCACCATTCAGCCGCCTCTCATCACTGCCGTCTACCCTCAAATTTTAGTCGTGATAACGCTACCTGTCCCTCCACTTGGAAAGGTAAGTTAGCTTCGTTTTTGGAATGCAACTCTCCCTATCGTACGTCTTCGCTTCTAGGTCGGTTGTGGTCGGACGTGCTACCACACTTCCTCTCGCGTGCATGTACGAACGCCTCGTGGGCAGAGGAGGCTGCTGAAGTGGCTCAACTTTTTCTACATCTAGCCCTTGCATCATCGTCTAATATGTCCCCATGGGACTTACTTTCATGGTTCTCTTTTAAGACGAATCTGTCCTTCTCGTGAGTCTGCCTTTCCTCTTTTGCTATCTGCAAATTGTAGCATTTAAGGAAACCCTAAATGGACAGTGTGGGTGACTTTTCAACTGATTCACAACTCTTTCAGTTTTCGTAGACTCTACTTTCGTCGCCTTTTCAATGATACCGGCTTTTTAAACACCTTGCTACGCTCCCAAATCACTCCCACGGACGTAAACCGAGCTTGGCAGTTCTACACAACTTGGTTAACTTATAGTCTTCTTGACGATGCTAACGAATGTAGAAAGGCTATCTCCTTACACGCTATCGGGTGCGAATTGCCTGACGGAGTATCCACCCTAGTGGATACAGCAGTCGCCGAGATTTCATTGCTTCAACTGTGCCAAAGATTTGAGGCTGTGGAGGTGAGTCCTTGTAGTTTGATGTAGGCAGTGAACGCTTCTATGGAGGGTGGAAATAGTTGATCATTTGGTCAGCATTGTTTACAGGCAACAGTCACAGACTGCGGTTTGAGCCTTAACCCAACTTCACCTATCATAATCAGTGCATAATGGGCAGAAACTCCAGTTCGCCTTTAAAATTTTGGGGTTTGTTATACCCAAAGTGTCACTCAGCCGTAACTAACAAGAGTGTCTTCAATCAAGGGGATGTGGGATGACTTGGGTCCGACGTCATCTTTGGCTCTATCGTCCTGGCGAACCCTGAAGAGTCACTGCTCACCTTTCCTTCTGTCGGATTAGGCCGTCTACAGTTGATTGGCATGCTTTTAACCCATCTATTTACTTTTCCATCCACTCTGACTGAGGAATTCCTTTTCATATTCCCCTTCCAGACCTTCCAAGAACGTATGGCCTTCAAGTCTGAAACCCTTCGTCGACTAACTCCACTAGCACAACTATTAAGTTCTATAATGGAACGTTTCCTTACTGCTTCCACGCCCTCGGAGGTAGAAATAACTGCAGCGTATCGTGCAACTGCTTCCCTCTTCCAAACCGCTTCTCCCCTCCTCTACTCTCCAGACGGTATCTTTACTAGCCTCTTCGATGCCTTTCTGTTACCACCTTGGCGTCGACTGACAAAGGAGACCTCAATCAAAAAATCAATTGTCCAGACCTGTGTGGCGGAAAATTTGCCTGCAGTAGGTGGCTACTGTGATTTCTTGTACTGATAAGTTTGTAACCAGTGTGGGGAATGACTTGATTGAGCATCGAAATGTGATTGGTGGACGTTTTGCTCTCAATCAGGGGGCAGCCAATCGCATCTCAAATTTATTAGAAGTCTGAATAACGATTGGTTGGCTGAGATGTAGTTCGAGTTTGTAGATGGTTTCAGGTACTTGAGGGGAATACGATTTGATGGGACCTCACTGCCAGTTCCTCTAAGATGAATATACTCGTAGTGGGAAAAGCTTGTATAGAATAGGATGTTTTACCTGTAATGTTCCCCGTAACTTTTGCCACCATGCGGCTCTATTGTCGAAGGAGTGTTGAAACCCGTGTCAGCACTCAGTTCGTGTTAATTGATCGACCTCTGAGGTTTCCTTAAAAACTCGCAATTGGTTCTGCCAAGGAATCTCGTTTTTTGTCTATTCTACTTAGTTCCTTCGTGGAATACTACAGCTGAACTACCAAAAGGATCCATTTATCGCGAGGATGTTACGTGAGCTCCTTCGCACTATCTTTTTCTCAGTGGGGATCAAATACATTGCGGTGCGTTGAGGGATTCGCGTTGTCTCACGCGGTTCCTTATTTCTTCCCCAATATAGCCGTATTTCTGGCTTTTTTCTAGTCTGCTGTACAGATGTGTGACTTGTCAACGTATAGAGCTCATCTGCTGAGAGTTTTGGCGCAGGAGTTTATCTCCCACTTGGACGAACCATCCAATGGATGGAACGAGAACGCGAAAATGGTATGTTGAGGCCACTTTATTGGTCACTGTGAACACGACTGTTTTAGTGGATGGACTTCTTCGACGAAATGGACAAGGGCACGGTGACGTTGGTTCAGGCATTACGGTGAGTTTTTGAGCCGCGTTTTTATAAACGTTGCTTAATCATGGAGTTTGTAGAAGGTGCAGTAGTTTTGATAGGAATGAAGGGTCATTTGAAGGGTTAAGAGACGGCGTGGCTTGTTAAAATAACTACGCATTAATTTATGAAACCGAACGACGGCTTCATAAATGTGTAAATGATGTATAAAATGGTCAGTTACCAGCTGAGTCCAATTTGAGTGTAGAAGCAAGGCTGTGATTGAAGCTACGTAGTAAATGGGAGACGACCAAGGTTGACGGCCAACCAACTGCAACAAGAATCGTCAAAAGTTATACACCCCACGATGGAAAATGAGTATCGCTTAAAACGCGACGAAGCAGACCTCTCCGTTGCCGCTGAAAGACCCACCTACTAGCTGTTCACGTCGGCAGGTCACACACTAATTCGCCCCTTCCGTGGGACGCACTTTATTGGTCAGGGAAAAAAGTACAACTGTAACTCACCTTGTGGACAGTCCTCGGTCAGCTCTATGACCGAAGTTGCCTTCCTTTAGCTCGTTTTCCTGCGTGACTTAGACGTGGAATGACTACTTTAACTTGAAAAGAACTGATGGCGGATTTCCGCATCTTTAACGGCAGGCACGCGCGTGACCAAATGGAAAAAGATCGAATTTTGCGGAAAAGATTGCTCACCATACCTCACCGAATTCTTCGCTTTAAATGCACTCTTCATCACCTTTTCCATGCTTCAGAGATGCTCCTTACCTCCTTTGGCCCGTGGCAGCGTTGCTGGGTGATACGAGGAACGCAAAGTCTTTCACCTCCCTCACTAATCGCTGTGCCAGTGCTTTCGCCACTTTTATTACTCGGTGGAAGAGCTTGAAGTCTACCATGAATGATGGTGTTGACGGTGATGCCGCAAGGTAAGAACGCTTTTTTATAGCTAAATTGCAGATGTGAAGATGCTTGCTGCCATGTTTTCCTGCTAATTTCAGTTGATAGTCAGCATATATTCACAACTATTCATTGAACTGTTCACTCCGTACGCATTCCTTTACTCATCGGCAACCTTGAGGTGGAAATTGAACATTCTTTTCTAGTAATCACTGGAAGGTATTGCTTTTGAATGCTGAAATGTGGCAGGAGGTGTCTTTGCTGTGGTAAAATGTTGCCACTCCTCCACTTCATTGTTGCGGTTTAGCAAAAGAGGTGATTCTTTTGCATAATTTTTGCCCATCTATTGCAACATTTCCATCGGTGTCGCCACGCTTCATCCGCAGTAGACGTTGAATTCTTATCTGAGTTCAATCGCAAAGTTGTTGTTTCTGGCCTCTAGCGCGACATCCTTCTGCGTCAGTTAGTATTTACAGAGGCATCAGTGATGATCGACTGGAGAAAGGTGCAATTTCAGACCATCTAATAGCATTGCTCCCTACACCACATCCTTTTCTGTAAATCTTTTTAGTATCGTATTACATTGCCATCAATTATTGTCTCACTTTGACGTGGGGAGGATGACTTTTGACTCTCAGACGGCACCAGAGCCAAACAGTAGAATAGGCGCTACGGTACGACCTTCTTTTGGGAACAGTGTCTTGGTAGAAAGGAATGAGTGGATGCACGAACAGGATTGATTTGCTTCAAGCTTTAGACAGTTGTTGGCCTCTCCATCCTCTTGATGACATTCAATGAACAGCGGCGTGTTGAAGGTCGTCAGAATGTAAAACGGGAGAGCGGTGTGGAGAAGAGCCTCATTGTTGAGTTTGGGCAATTCAATGACACGACTGTGGCATGTGGTGCAGTTTTGGCTCCGCGAAACGGGATGCGGATATCAGAATTATGAGGCGAATAGAGGGCGCCGTGACGTCCTTCCAATCATGAGTGAGTGAAGGGAGAAATCACTGTGCTACTCTCTACTTAAAAGGCCAAAATCATTGCCTTTAAAGTAACATCTTTTGCCTAAGTTCAAGCAAAATGACGGACATAATCTATCCTTGTCCATTTCTCAAGAAATTGTCCAATGAACCTGGTAACTGAAGCGGTGAGGTGTTGTCTTTGAGGCTTCTCTTCAAGAACGAGGGAAGCGAGCGATGGGACATTATGTTCACGTTTTACTCACCTGATTTGCAGTCCAACAGAGTTTATTTTGCTCACATCTCTCGCGTTTTCATTCCATTGCGCGATTCCATGAGTGGATAATTGTAAGCTGCGATTCTCGACACACACACAGACCCATAACACATGTTTTTCTGAGGAAAGATGAATTTGTGTGTACATCCAGAGGCGGCATGAACTGCTGGCAAGGGGATCAGTGGGCAATACGTGATGTGCCCACTCGATTAGAGGAGCCATTTTGCAGTCGGTTGGTTGGCCGGTCAACGTATCTCCCTGTCAACTGACTTTGGCTCCCTGTCGTCTGTGAGAGCTGTTCCCCTAGTTTCTACTGCAGTCTTGTTTTTCCTCCGCACTTGAGGTAGAGGCAAGCAAACCGTTTCGTTTACCTGAACAAAGGTCGACTAAACCTTCCTCTGGGCATTGTCTGAATTGATTAGTGAATCACACTGAGGCAGACAACGTAGTTCTGGAGCAAGCGCACAAGCCATTGCAATTTTGTTTGAACTGCAGGAGTTAATGGTGCGGATGTGGAGCTCCAAATACTTTGGAAAATGTAGTTAGTAAAAGTAAATTTTGAGGGAACACAGAATTATTTTTAATAAATCAATGTGGTATGAGAATGCGTAAAGTTAGCCAAGACCCACACATTCCTTTAAAAGTGGCTTCCTTGTACACCGTATGATCCAAGAAGTAAACTAACCGACACCGATTCCCTTGTCAGGTGGGAGTGGGAGAAGCCATGTTGTTGGCATTGAGATGAACCGGCAAATTGGTCAGCTCTCTTGATCGTTTTGTGGCACAGGGAAGCCTTATTTACTGGACTGGGGCATCAGCTAGCACAAAATTTTTTTTTCGCTGTGGACGTGCATGGGATGCCCCATTTCTTACAAATAAAAAAAAACCCTATGAAGCTGGTAAAAATCATAATTTGGGAATCAGGAGTCGGATACTGTTCTTCTACAGCCTTCTTGCTTCCCTCTCCACTAGACAAAATGCGATATCCTGACTGACAACGGCAATATTATTGCTGCACAGCCGGATTTATGAATCACTTGCCCTGGTACAGACAGTTCTCGCTAATAACTTTTTAAGGTTTCTAGTCCTTAATTAATCAGTCCCTTTTCTCTTTGGACAGAAAGGACGTCACCGCCAACTTCCAAACTGTCTACCGACTAACGACCAATCCATCTACTGCTTCAGTTCTCAGCAAATACCTGAAGAAGTTCGACCTTTGTTGAATAAATTCATTCTCTTTCTGCTTAATCTGAGCAGAAAATAAATGGAAGGAGGGGGAAGAGGGGAATTTGTGTTGATTCATTTTGACTTCTCGCGGGCGAACAAGTCCATCGTGTACCTCCACATTCTACGAGGGAGTGCGAGAAGGGCAACAGGGTGAGAGTAAGAATGGAAAAGAGAAGTTTTCTGCACATCATTTCTAACACCAACTTACCCATGTCCCATCTTCTGGACGTTACCAAAGAGGCGTTTTGTAAGGCCATTTATTTCGCACTGGAGAAAGCAAGGGAAATATGTGATTTTAAAGCTCAGGGAGAGATGAAATGTATTGTGATGAGGAGCAGTTGCTACCTTGTATCTGTCAGCCAATTTCGGTGCTCCAAAGGCCAATACTGTGGCTAAAAGTGGGAAAGGAGGTGTTATACTTTGTATTCACTGACGGCAAAGCATATTTGAAGTCCATTTTGATCTTTGTAATATTAGAGTTATAATATGGATATGCGATTGTGTGCAGTGCTGAAAATGGTCTATCTTGCCAACAAATATAGGATTGGGTGGGGCTGTGAAGGTCTCAACCTTATGATTCCTACTTTTCATTTACAACTTTGTGCATTCACCTGATGCAGGAGTGGCCTGCTCGACGTGTAGGTCGTCACAAAATTGTACAAATGGAAATCTTTGTGTAAACACAGCAGCAGGAATCGTGAAAGCCCTTCCGATTTCCAAGTACAATTTAATGGTAAGTGGAATGACCGTATTCATTCATTGCGAGCTTGGAGATTTTGGATTATCTTAAACGCTGCCAAAGTTTGCGCCTACGCATTAAGTTTAGCATATTTTCTAGCAGTAGCACAGAGGTTGCGATTCTAATGAATATGAAGCGAATTAAAATGAAGATTTGGTGTCACCGCTCACCCCATATGCACAGCGTCAAAAAGTTAAACCGTGCTCCGATGTAGGTGAGACCGTAGAGCAGAACACCAAACTGTAATGAAAGAAGGACAAGTAAATTACCAAGAGAAAGTAGAAAAAGAAAGGGCGGCAGACTAAAGCTCGCACCCGAGCAGAATTGCCGATGTGACGGAGGAGGAATAGATCCATGGTAGCGTGAATGAGTTTGTTAATCCGAGTCGTCATTATCTGTGCCAGGTGAGAGGAGGTTGCCGGACTTAGACGGAGATCCCAAGAACTGAAATAACTAAAAGGATAACGGAAACAGAACATGAATTCGGGCATGCAAGAGGAGTCGAAATAGAGCTAACATAAGTACTCGTCTTTCGTTTGACGAGACATCTTCTGTAGCGCCCCTGTTCTCCACTTATAGAGGACAGGATCAGGGAAGTGTCCTTACCAAAAACGTCGGTTATTTGAGGCTAAATTCTTGAGGGATATTGGAGCTCACGTGAGAAGAGGGTAATACAAACAGCAACCTTGAACGGGAACACGAACCCTTTCATAAAAATTACAGGTTTGGTAGGACTAAGAATAAAAAATTTCTCGTCCAGACCTCTATTTTGTTCAATGGAATTGATAGGAGAATGTCTTACAAGCCTAGAATCTGTCGTTTCCAAACCCACTAACCTGTAACAAGTGGTAAGTACACGAGTATTCAAATCTACGTTTATCGTAATGGAATGATAATTTCTAGAGCAATGTGAGCATGATTCCCTCTGCCCAATAAAAATAGTGACATTACATTCATTTTCAAGCAATATAAAAGTAAATGTAAATCAAGAATATACTAATGAACTGAAGCTAAACAGGGACGTGTTGTGCGAATTAAGCGAAGGAAGGACGCGCCTTAGAGGGTTGTTCTCTGGGTTACCAACAATGCGGTAATAAATCCTCATCAAAGCAGATACCAGAAGTATGACGAGAAAGAAATTAGATACCACGGAGATCACGGAGCAAACAAGGAGACCAAGCTCAAAGGTCAAAATCGAGGCAAACACAAGGGCTGATGCCTGCGGATTCCTCCAGTAAATCAAGTCCAAAACTACACAAAATTTAGGAATTAAAAGCGAATTTCTCACAAATTGCTTCAATTTCTGGAAGTTTCAGTTTCCTTTTCGCAGCAGTAGCTAATAAAGAAATAAAAAAGCGCGTCAAAACCATTGCTCAAAGGGTTTAAAAAAAGTATTCAAACCCCGGAAATCTGCTTCAGTTGTATGATCGGATGGTTTAATATTGTGTTCTGTGCATATTTCAACGACTGGCTGTTTCGATGGAATAATAAACTCCAGTGAGCTAGATCCATAATTTGATAAATCAGTTTGTATATTCGGTTGCTGACCCATAAAATTTTCAAGAGCATCCAAATCTGTTACAGTGGATCCATCTAAAAACTACCCGGAAATTGGAGTCTGACAAACCGTCATCGATAACTGCGGTCATTCTCGAATGAAGCGGGCTAAACCAGCCTTATTTAGGCTATCGTGCACGCATTAGTTTTTTCATTTCATTGGTTAATACACTTGGAATGTATTGAGGCTTTGATTTTGTTGCACGCTTTATATCTTTGTAGATAGCAATATTCTGCAACAGTGTTCCATAAATCTTGAGAGTCATAATTTTTTTCGCCCTAAATTTACATGTATTGCTGTTTTGATGAATGTTCACAACCAGACTTAACGCATAGCCACTTTTCGATGCTAGTCTCCCGTCATGGAGTGTGGTAGTGCACATTTAGAACAGGCTTGTATGCGTAGTTTACTGCCATATTTAGAGTGGTAAATAGGAGGCAAGAGCAGGTTCTTTACTTAAAACAGATGCTAAATGCCTGCAGGTATTATAACCAGTAAAATTTTGATAGAACACACGTAACTTGATGCCAGTCTGTACGATCGGCGGTCTCTTCTCTTGCGTTCCGTGACTTCCCATAGGGTAAAAGAAGGCTGTAAGTGCGACTGGATACATGTATGGCCTGAAGGCCAGCCCACGTTTACAAGGGCAAAACAAATTCTAAAGTGACCGCCGAACGTCTGGCGATATCATAAACAAAGCATTATATGGTTGACTATCATCTTGCAATGGCTCTGATTACAAGCAGTTGGTCAATTTCGCGTCTTATTTTGACTCAGCAAGCATGTAACCCCTTTTCCCCACCAAGAGAGCAGATACCCGCTTCAGGCAAAGGGACTTATCGTCAGCAAAAATAACATTTTTTTCACAAAGTTGTTCCATCAAGTTTTCAAATCAAGACTTAACTCCCCTTTGCTTGTTCTCTCGTCATTAGAAATCTTGGTGACATCAAATTGGACATTCGAAATAGTGGTTTCCACACAAAATCTCCCAACGATGCACCCTAAAATTGAATATAATTTTAACTTATAAATCACATAGATTTTAAATGAAAATAAAAATTTGTACCCCTTCGGTATGATTGAATTCGTATGCTTCACCGCCAGAATCGTCGGATGCTGCGAGGATGAAAAATGCAAAATAAATTTAATGAGAGTATTGAGAAACTCTTGTTCTATGGGCGTGGAAAGGATAAATACTCACATAATAATATCAGTCTATTGTTGAATGTGACAAGGGATGTGATTTTTAGGCCATACTTATCGATACCCCGCAGAAGCGTCCATTGAGCATTCGATGTCAGCGAGAGGCTCTCTACGGTGTACTCTGCGTCGCCTCCAGCAACCACTACGCATTGGTTGAATGAGGCGATTCCCGGACGATAGCGCTCCTTCAACATCGGGCTAAGCTTCGTCCAATGCCAACCCCCTGTATTTGCATCATCTTCTACCATCATGTCGGCGTTTCGAGACGTTGGCAAATTCGAATCCACCCGATCACTTCCACCGACAGCCACAATTCCAAAGTCGGGAGTGCTTACAATCGACATTCCATGTCGTGCGTTCGGTATGTCTGGAAGTTTAGTGAGCCTTCAAGCAGGTTAGCATAACTTCACTCCTACTCGCCATTGGTGGTGTCCAATTTTTCACAGGTGGAAAGACATTGTCCACGATAATGACCACCAAAAATGAATATTGAGTCATTGCTCCACATGATGGAATAGTCGCTCCGTGGATCCATTTGTACTGGAGTTGTGGAATTAGAGCCATCACGAAAATTCAAGGTCAGTAGATTGGTTTTGGTGCCAACCCCGCCTAGGACATAAAAACGGCCTGAAAGAGGACGGATTAGAAATTCTCCGCATCATTTACCGTCCGATACGGCTGCTTCTCCATTGAATGGAATTGAATAGTTGATGGATTCCTCCGGTTGCAACTGCGGTACAGATGTCAACATCCAACATCTCGAGGTCTTATTCCACCCGTAGGCTAGAAGCACATCTCTAAAGTGGTGCACTACGGTTTTACATCCGTTTAAGTTAATGCAAAAGCATTTTAACTGCTTGCCTGGTGGCGGAGGCATGAAGGAATGCCGAAACCTCTGTTTGGTCGCGTCCCCCGTTGGCATCGTTCCAATATTTGGTGAAGTCATTCCTAAAGAGGTAAAAAGGAGACGAGGATCAAATTTATCCCCTCCTTGGCCCAAATTTTCTTTTCCAACGTCCTCACTCATCGAATCATTCACTTCTCTTTAGTCAACCGGATGGCCAACAACCACTCCTTCAGCCATCCACAATGCTTACCTGCAAAGCGCAATTCTGCATATTCCTTCACCCAACTTCCAAAACTCGGTGAGAAATTGAGGCGACAGTTCAGTCAGGTCAATCTTTGTTATCAGCTTTGTGAATTCTTTTGCCCTCTCCTCCAGATCACACATATCAAAACCCAAATCCAGCCACTTGGAGATGGCACGAAATTTAGCCTCCTCACTCACACTCTCGGCCTGCTTATTTCCCACTAGGACCTCCAAGTACTCTGATGTTGTCTGCTGCAAAAGGTTCCGTCGAAAACACAGATCGTCAAAGTGTTGCATTAGCAGTGGAAGGCAGAGTTCGATAAGTCCACTGTTTCCTGTGACATTGGCGATTGACCAAACTTCTCCCACACTGTCTAAGTTAATTCTTTAAAAAGGCGAGTGTTAAGTTTCGGTAGGGGGAAAGGAGGTAACCAAATTCGGTGTTACCGTGATCGAAGAAAGTCCACACACCATGTGACAATCTGTCCTGAGCCGAGATTATATCCCAACAGGTAGAGTCGGGTGACATTGGCAGTGGAGATTGTGAGGCCACCGGTGTATGCGTAGTTGACAACTGCCTCGACAATACTGAAAGCGGATTAATGAGAGGCGAGGAAGAGGGTTATGGACGTACTCTGCAGAAAATCGCTTCCATTGGACTGCCATTTTGCCCATCCTCGAGGTCAGAGGCTTTCGAAGCAAGGGAAATCGGGCTGCCATGATCAATCGGTGCGCATTCACACATTTTCCATCTTTTGTCTAGAGGGAAGAGAGTGTTTGTATGCGTGTTGAAACCGATGTCCGTCACCTTACGGTAATGCATAAGTCAATGAGTTTGCCTTGGCTACGAAAATGGCGAAAAGTGGGCCACGGAAGGCAGTAGGCATTCTCCTCCGAGTACGCTGCTGTTTCCATTAGAAGGTGCAAAAGTGTAATGACAGCGCTTTGCAATGCATTTTGTGCTTAAACTTGAGATTTGTGGGTGACGAATAAAATGAAATGGCTGCACATGTACTGCGCACCGGAGGCTGTCAGGTAGCCTTAACGCAATCGACGGAGTCCGTGTTGTTTGCGTGGGAGATGAGTAAGCCTAGGCAAAGCTTAAATTCTATTCACCTGCAAGCTGCCACCTTCAGGTTTAATGCAATGCTGTGGTTACTTTTCTGACGCCTTCTTTTGTTGCACGGATAATTAATAACCCGCCAATGTGCGTTGCTCGGTGCTGTTGTAAGGCAGAAATTTTGCGCACCAAAAAATGCATCTCGTGTCGGAATATTTATTTTGACTGCAACTGGGAAGGCTAATGGAGAGGCCGTGCTATTGACAGCCAAAGGGGAGCCCCTCCTAGCAAATGCCACACATTGCGATTTTGGCTGATTTTCTAATAAACGCAAATGTTGGGTGGAAAAATTCACCCATCGGTAGTGGAAGCAGTATTATCCGTAAAAAATATTAAAAATCGCCTGATGAGTTACGCATAACTATTTACGTAGTCATTTATTGTTACTATAGTACGTGGGTAGGACTCGGATTAACAGATGTGACTAAGCTGCTCAGCAGTGAAAGTAGCAAGTGTGTAACGTTAATAAAATTGACATAACACCGACTTAAATTAAATCGCTTTGCTGATTAAGCATAACCCTTGCATAAATGCATTCTCAAAAGTAAAAATACAATTGGTCAGGCAAAAAACCTTCGGAGAATTTATGGCCGAATAGGACGTAAGTGACTGACGAAAGTAATTAATAGTAAGAGGGCTTGTCTGAACATTGTTTGTGAAGAGGGAGCACTTAATGCTCTAATGTTGTGCAAGTACACAGTATTCAGAAACATACGGAACTTTAAGGCGCCTTAATGCAACTTTAATTGAAGTATTACATTTCGCGTATTCATAAAAGGCTTGCCACAAGAAGGATAGATGTTTGTACAAATTCCTTTTAATCTTAAACTCTAATAAGAGATTAAAAAGGAATGTGCTACTTTGCCTTCACCAAAAGGAATAATTTGAGGGCAGGCAGTTGACTACAGGCACTTCTTCAAGCATGGCAATTTTATCCAAAGAAATCAATTACTGAAGCACACGCCTTGTTTACTTATCTGACAATACAAAATGTTAGCCTATACTAAATTAGCGCATTTCCCCTTTTCATATGATTATTTGTTCATGTTTGCGGAAAAAATTTTCAGATGTGTATTTTCAAGGGAAAATACTAACACAACGTACACAGTATCACTCGATTGGGCACTTTTTCATAAATAAACATGGGCATAGCATTTTGCGGCGTTCACTAGTATAGCTGCATAATACACTGCCATTTCTTCGCGGGTTTGTTTGTTTGAATTGTTAATTATCGAGGAACGGGCCTATCGTACGGCCAGCCTGGAGGACGCGTGATTGTCGACGGGGGATTTTTAACAGTTGTTATTGTTCGCTTCACTCAGGTTGTGTTTCTGTCATTTCTGGTGGACCCAGACAAGTTTTTAGTTTTTTCCCGGCTTATGCCAACTTTATACTTTTCCTGTATGTACATTAGCCGTTGCGTTGCTTTGGTCGTATAAGAACTTTATCATTTCCACTTTGTTATAGTTACTATCTGATGTGATCACGCTCGCTCAGACGGAATGCTAACATGCTTATTTTTAGCTTAGGGGATGTTGATCGAGATTCTAGTGAGTTTCTTTTGTGTCTATTGGACTCTCTCCCTCATTCTCCTGCGCTGGCCAACACTGTTGCATAAAAAGAAGACCTCCAACATATCCGCGACTGTTGTGTGTCATCGCGGTGGATCAGGCGAATTC